AAAAAAAAAGAGAAGACATGTCTGTTCTGTGGCAACACGATTTGTCATAGTGCTCGGCATTGTCTCTTGATAATGTCCCATGACCTTTGTCTACCATCACACGCAATGATTGCGGTGGTGCACGGAGGAGTAGGAGTGGGGGGAAATCCCGTGTGCTAACTTGTTAAGTGTGAAGTGCATTTTTTTCAGGGGGTAGGGTAGGGGACGATGTACTGTGTAGAAGTTAAGGAAAGAAGGAGGGAGGGAGGGAAAAACAGTGGGAGAAAAAGAGGGGGAAGAAGAGGGGGACAAAAAGAGGGGAAGAAAAAGAGGGGGAGGGAGAGGGGGAGCAAGAGGGGGAGAAAAAGAGGGGGAGAAAAAGAGGGGGAGTGATTGGGGGAGCAAGAGGGGGAGTGGTATATTAGTATATTCAAGACATCTGTGTGCTTTAGTTAGAATTGTGCGGCACTCGCAGGACGAATTACATCATTTAAATGGTGAAGTTTAGAGGGGTTCATCATCATTGCCTTTTTCACCCTGGATCAGGATATAGGCTACGAACAAACACTTTCCACCTTTCCCTATCCTGGGTGAGTCGCTTGATGTCACTCCATGTCTTCCCACTTTTCTGTACGTCCATTAGAGGGGTTACTGGAGAGTAAAATACAGAGGAAAAAAGGGGGAGAGATCTGTCCCTGGGGTTTTATGCACTTCGCATAATTCAGCAGAATTTAATCATTTTTTGCATATTTTCTTATTATTTTCCGTTATCATTCTTTGTTAATATTAACAGAATCGCATAATTTCACATTTTTGGGCTCGGCTCGCATAATTTCATAAATTTGTTTTGCATAAAACCGCGGGAACAGAGATATAAGGACAATGGATGTTTGATAGGAAAGAAGGTGCAAGCCACAGCAGAGCACCCGCCAGCCACCCACTGGGGTGTTGTGGAGGCGGTCTCTATGAGGGGACAGGTGGAGAAGTCTAGAAAAACAGCCGGTGGTAAAAGGTCGCTTGTGTGGAGATTGTGTGTGTGTGGAGATTGTGTATATATGTGTGGGGGGGGGGTGTGGGTGGTGCGTGCATGTTTGTGTGTTTGTGTGTGCCTGC